CCCCCCCCGGGGGCCCATCCAGGATGGCCAAGCTGGCTTCAAGCCCCCCCCCCACCTTCCCCCCCTTCCCAGGCATTGTTCTCGACTCCGGGGATGGCGTCACCCACAACGTGCCCATCTATGAGGGCTACGCTCTGCCCCACGCCATCATGCGTCTCGACTTGGCCGGCCGCGACCTAACCGACTACCGCATGAAAGGGGCTACTCCTTCGTCACCACCGGTACGGGGCCGGGGAGGGGCGTATGGAGTGATGGGGGACCCCCACAGTGCTGCCACAGCACCGGGTAGAGCCTTTTTGCCATCGTCTCCCACAGCCGAGCGGGAAATCGTGCGCGACATCAAGGAGAAACTCTGTTACGTGGCCCTTGACTTCGAGAACGAGATGGCCACGGCCGCCTCCTCCTCCTCGCTGGAGAAGAGCTACGAGCTCCCTGACGGGCAGGTTATCACCATTGGGAACGAGCGTTTCCGGTGCCCTGAGACCCTCTTCCAACCCTCCTTCATCGGTGAGCCCACCCCGAATGGTCCTGGCTGTCTCCTAGGTGGTTGCCCCCGTCCCCACTACCCCACCATGGTGGGGTCAGCTCCCATGGGTGCCCCACAGAGGCGTTTCAGAGCTCCCCCAAGCACTTTGCACTCCAAATGGGGGAACAAACTCATGGGTGACCCCGTGGCTCTTCTGGGGAGCCCTGAGAAGGCATGGGTGGGGGTCAGGGTGCTGACAGCCCCCTTCCACCCCAGGCATGGAGTCAGCTGGCATCCACGAGACGACCTACAACTCCATCATGAAGTGTGACATTGACATCCGCAAGGACCTCTACGCCAACAACGTGTTGTCCGGCGGCACCACCATGTACCCTGGCATCGCCGACCGTATGCAGAAGGAGATCACAGCGCTGGCTCCCAGCACCATGAAGATCAAAGTAGGTGGTGGGGGGAGACAAACCATGGCCACCAGCACCCCAAATCTTCTCCCGGTGCAGGTTTGGGTGGAGAGGGTGATCAAGGGGTGCATCCTAATGGCTCACATCTCGGCAGATCATCGCCCCGCCGGAGCGGAAGTACTCGGTGTGGATCGGTGGCTCCATCCTGGCATCCCTCTCCACCTTCCAGCAGATGTGGATCAGCAAACCCGAGTACGACGAGGCCGGACCCTCCATCGTCCACCGAAAATGCTTCTAAGCCCCCTCCCCGCCCTGCGGCGGCCCCCCCAGCCCAGGGTGGGGCGCCCCGCTCCTCCTCGGTCCCCGCTGCTCCTCCCCACCGCCCACTGTGCATTAAAGCCTTTTCTCCAGGCTCTGCCCCTTTTCTGGGAGATTTTGGGGTGTTGGGGGGTGGGAGGGGTT